TTAATGTACTTGTCAATAAAAGCCTTTGACACTTATAAAATGCTTGTAATTATACTTCACTATACCTTAGTAACCTCTGACAAAAGATCTAAAACACGGAAGCAGCAGAATTTGAGAAAATGTATATTTGTGTCATTCTCAAAACACTTGACCAGGGCTGTATTTCAGAGACTTGATTTCACCTTACTGGTTCTCCAAGCTGTTAGTGTTTTTTCTTCAGGCTTCTCATCTCTTATTTCTTTGTGGGCCTGTTGGCAATTTTGGTAATCTTGTTACGCTGTTGCCCACCCCTTAGTATATTGCTTGGGTACGTCCCGTAGTCTATGAATACAAGTCCTGTACAATTAAGATAAGGAATTTACAGGCAATTCAAATTCCCTATTAACCCCCCTTTTTTTTTTTCCTTGCTTTCCCTTACCTTTTTCCCTCCACATTTGTAAGACCCCTGACCCCCCTCACTTAGAGGGCATGTTCACCCCACAAATAACGCAACTTTTGAAAAATTACTGTATTGAGCCAGGTTGGTCATCCGTACCTCATGGCCAAAGGTGCACTGATTGAGCAAGGGTTCCAACACTCTCAGGACTCTATAAACACTTTAAGGACTAAAATGGGAACCTAGTTCAACCACTTGTTGTCCAAGGACATCCTTGAGTTGCAATGGTTATACTGGGATGATGCAAAAAATACAAAACTCAAAGTGCTGCCTTGTGCAGTAATAATTAGCCAATGTCCGTGAAAACATCAATCACATTAAAATCAAATCTGTACAGTCTATAGTGCCGTGGTACTTTCTTCCTCCAAATAAGTGCCACAATTACTGTGCAGCACTCCCCTCCCTTGTTCCCATACTCACCGACAGTTGAAACTTTTTACAATTTATGTAAGAGTCTACAAGTCCCGGTGATCACAAAATGTGTGACACAAGCACTTGTGTTCACCTGTCAGTTCTGCTCCACTGCATTTCCTGGGGTCAGAAGGCTGGCATCCGCTCGCATAGACAAGGAATGGCAAAAGGAGGCCACATAGTGTAATTCCATTTTTTATTAAAAACTTTTAAAATTAGTTGCACTTACATATATACAACAAAAGCATTCAAACCACCATACTGGAAGCCACGCACCCGCAGGTTCTGGAAATGACGTCACGTCTGCTCTCCACCCAACAAGTTTCGTCCCTTCCACAGGACATTTTCCATCAGCTACAGGCATTATCCCAGTATCTCTTTTTTTTTTTTTGATCCTAAGACTGCAGCCGGTGGTTCTGCTGGCTGACAATACATCGGGGATGTTCCAATCCTCTAAGACAGGGTTCTCCAAACTATGGCCCTCCAGGTGTTAAGGAACTGCAAGTCCCATGAGACCTTGCAAGACTGGCAGCTACAGGCAAGACTCCCAGAGGCATGATGGGAGTTGTAGTACTTCAACAGCTGGAGGGCCATAGTTTGGAGATCCCTGCTCTAAGAAACCGGGAACTGAGTATTTTGTCACTCCTGGTTATGGCTTTGTGTTTATTGGCCGGTTACCAGTCAATGAAGCAACCAATCAAACCAATATGTGTCTGATCAGCTGCTTTGGAGGCCAGAAGAGAGATGGCAATACAATTAATAAAAATAAATGTAGTGTAAAAAAAGTTTTAGATAATCAACAAAACAAACAAAAATGTAAAACGCACCCACCCCAAACCTCCCTTGTGCGCTCACATACAAAGACAAATGGAGTCGTAGCTCTCACACACATACATATATTAATGGTGCCATGTGAGGTATCGCCATGAACAACATTATAGTGAGAGCAATAATTCTAGCACCAGACCTCTAACTTTAAACTGGTAACCAGTAAAGACTTAAAGCGTTGCCTATGGAGATTTTTTTTTCAAATACCGTAGTTTGTCACCATTCCACAAGTGTATGCAAATGTAAAGTGTGACGTTTTGTAAAATATAAACAATGATGTTATGCCGAATAGATTCCCAACAATTAGGTATTACAGGGCTCATAATTACCACTCGCCTGCTCGTATTTGGCAAGTGAAAATAACATGGGTTCAAGTGTGTCCACTTAGGGAGCCAGGATAGGAGTAAGGGTTGCCACCTGTCCAGAACTTGAATCGTGTCAGGTTTAAGTTTGTCAGCAGCAGCTGGGGGCCAAGGAAGGAACAAAAGCACTTAATGCTTATCGCACAGCAATCTTTGGGCATCGGCTCCCAATAATTAAATGAAAGTCTCGGCTTCCTCCTCTATATAAATCCGCTGGAGCATGTAATTGCCAGAAACCGAAGCACAAAGATCACTCCGCAATGCTATTTTATCATTTGTAGGCACAGGTGTAGTAATCCTTGTGCTGCAGTTCCCAGCAATTACATGTTCCGGCCGATTGCTTTGAAGTGGAGGTCTGATTTATTTGTTGGAAACCGCAGCACAAGGATTACTCCGCCGAGACTATTTGATCATTTTCGAGCACAGGTGTAGTAGCCGTGTGCTGTGGTTCCCGGCAATAAAAAGCGGTGGCTGGTGTGAATGGACCCTTAAAGTCTGTAGACAGTTTTTTTTTTTTTTTTTCCTTTTCCTTCTGTGATCTTTCCTATGTGACGTTTTTCTTTTCTTGTTCTGGCAACAGCTGTAAAATGTTTTTTTCCTCCCTTTCAGTCATGGACAATAGGAGAAATAGAGAGAGTGAATCTCCCCAAACAATAAAAACCCAAAAGGGGTTATAACAGTACTGCCACAGCATGTGCACAACTCCATACAGTCCGGACATGGAATGCAATGGGGGTTGTACTCAAGCCACAACAAAATTATACCCCTTCTTGCATCAGTACTGGCCAACCAACTCTGACCCATTTAACTGAATGGAGCTGCAACTTATTCAAGCGAATGAGGCCATGGTTGTAGCGTTGTGGACTTTACAGGGTTAAAACAGACAATGAGGCAGCAATCTATCATCGTCAAATGGCCCGGAAGAGATCCACTGCATATCACTTTTTAGAAGGGAGGCAGGGTCTGCTGCAAGAGTAAACCTAGGATTGTGCACCGGCTGTGTGGTGGCTCCCTGCGGGATCAGAGTGCTCTCTCCCCACCTAGGGACTCCACTCCATCCCCAGCCCAGCCTGGTTTTATTATATGTCCCCCCAGCAGCCAGAGCTGGAGGGGAGAGAGCCAGGACAAAGCTGTCAGCCAAAATGACACTGCATAAAACATTTTAACAGTGTCATTTCATGAGATCATTTAGGGAACTTGTTTAGGAGTGGAATTAAGGAGTAGGGGTTGGGTGGCAAGTAACTCGTTAAGGCCTGGCTAATTGCTCAGGACTTGAAATTTTGAGCCCTGAGGTATTGTGTGTTTGTACATTAAAATTCATTAAAATGTATATTTTCCTCAAAAATTGCATTTGAAAAACCACTGCACAAATACCATGTGACAAAAAAAAAATGGTAACACCCACCTTTTTTTCTCTAGGTCCTCTGCTCAAAAAAAAAAAAAAAAAAAGTTGTTTGCAAGTGATTTTCTAGCAAAAAAGTGTTGATTTTTACATGCAGGAGAGAAGTGTCAGAATAGGCTTGGGAGTCAGGTGGTTAAGAGGTCTGGATGTGGGAGGTAGATCGTAGTCAAAATGTTGAAGATGGCCATTCAAAGTGCTTACTCGTGTGCCTTCATAGTTCTAAGGTAAACATGCATACAGTTTGCAGCAAAGAAAATCTGCCATGATAGAATAGAACCAGACATAGCAAACTTGTTGTCATGATAGGAGAATAGAACCGGACATAGCAAACTTGTTGTCATGATAGGAGAATAGAACCGGACATAGCAAACTTGTCATGATAGAATAGAACCGGACATAGCAAACTTGTCATGATAGAATAGAACCGGACATAGCAAACTTGTCATGATAGAATAGAACCGGACATAGCAAACTTGTGGAAGGTGTAACTATTACCTCTCCTTTAACCACTAGCCTACAAGGCACTTATACCCCCTTCCTGCCCAGGCCAATTTACAGCTTTCAGCGCTGTCACACTTTGAATGACAATTGTGCGGTCATGCAACACTGTACCCATATGAAATTTTTATCATTTTTTTGAGACAGATAGAGCTTTCTTTTGGTGGTATTTAATCACCTCTGGGTTTTTTATTTGTTGCTAAAACAAACCAAAAACCACTGAAAATTTTTGGGGAAAAAAAGTTTCTTAGTTTTTGTTAAAACATTTTGTAAATAAGTTCTTTTTCTCCTTCACTGATATGCGCTAATGAGGTTGCAGTGGTGGGCACTGATAGGCTGCACTGATGAGAAGGCATTGATAGGCAGCACTGTTAGGCGGCACTGATAGGCAGCTCAGATGGGCACTGATATGTGGCATTGACGAGCACTGACACAAGGCACTGATGGACACCGACATGTGGCACTGCTGGGGCTACACTGATCATCAGTGTTACCACTAGCAGTAGGTTAGACCCCATGTCAGTATGGAAATGTGTAGTTTACTTGAAAGCATCAACTCTCCCACCAAATGTTACAAGTTTATCTACACATGAAATGATAATACAACGGAGTACAAGAAAGTCTCATTAGAAAATATATATTTATTCATGCTATATGTGCATTTAACATTGCAGTGAATAAGGGTACAGCTACACACCTAGGTCATCACTGTTATAATGAAGTACAATGGTTTTCCCAAAGGGACATAAGATACATGGGACAATCTGGCCATATTGGTCAGTATGGCTTGAAAAGGCAATGCGCTCTATTTATTGAAGAGACAGATTTTGTCATTCTAAAAATTCTGTGGAAAAAAAAAAAAAAAAACAAACAAAAAAAAAAAAACAACAGATTTTTGGATAAGGCAATTTTTTTTTTTTTTTTTTTTAAATATACCACAAAGGGCCACAACGACCCAAATTGCTCTACATATTGACACTTTTCAGATCCAGTAGTAGACAAGATATTTCTTTAACTTTCATACATAAAGGATTCCACTCATCCTGCTTTCATAGTATGGATCCTACTGGCCAGTAATTGCTAGCAGCAGACGTCTGTAGTCTCCACTTGTATCACCCTGGATCATGGAAGAAAGACTCTTTTGGTACATCTGTGCAAAACCTTGTTTGATCTGTACAAGATCAATCTGAAATTGTGAAAACTAGGTTAGTAAATGTAAATAAAACACAAAGAACAAATGTTTTTGTTTTTTTTTTAAAGGACAGAAAGAGGGAGTGTCATTAGGAGCTTTCAGGTAATGTAACTGGATAAATATGATGCTCTAAGCCTGGAGTGCACTGGGGATCTGAGTATGGAGTACATCTGAAGATTGCCTGCCCATATACAGCACAAAGGAGCAGGAAAAAGGGGACACCGCTTTAAACCATTGTTTTTATCACCTTCCCAAAAGCTTTTATTTAGCAACCACTGCAGGTTTTAGGTAGGTGTGTGTACCACATGCAGGATTTGCACAAAACTGCCATGTATTTGTACAAAGAGGACTTGTTTAGCCTCAAGGTAAAGCTTGGGTTCAGCAGGGGAGCTCAACCTTTTGAAGAGCGAGGGCCACTTAATTTGGTAACATGTGGCGGCCCACAATGAAGTGGTTCAGAATTTTGAATCCATCTTGAATAGCATAATGAACATTTTCCTCCTGCAACCGTCAAAGGCCAGCAGGAGGGAGAAGAGAAGCAGCTTTAAGTGGTTACAGAAGGAGAATGGAGAGGATAAGTTCCAGTATATTCTGCCTGAGGAAGTGTAAAACAGAATGAGACAGACGGGCCATTCTTACCCCTAGTGCTACACCAGTGGTTGGGGGCTGGGCTTTACAGTAGGATTTCTACCTAAAAATTTGACAGTTATATGACCAAGAATCTACTGTGTACTCAAACCCTCAATGATATCCATGTTTACCCATCTGACCAGCACTGCTATCACACAGTATCGTGACCATGGCAGGAACATCATTGAGAGACTGCATAACAAGTTTAACTTCTGACAGGGCAGCAAATGTTAGACAGGCCTATTCCAGTGTGAAAGGATAGCTAAAGTGTTAGGAACCCTTCACATCTTTCGAATTTGCTGCATTGCATCAAATGGAACTCATTCATTCTAAAGGACTGCCAACACATTGCAAGAGACAAAATAAAAAAAATACCCTACACTTATTAATCACTTGCCCTCCAGAGGATTTACCCCCTTTCCTGACCAGGCCATTTTTTGCATTACGGTGCTGCTTTACTTTAACTGACAATTGCGCAGTCATGCAACGCTGCACCCAAATTAAATCTATGTCCTTTTTCCCTCCAAAAATAGAGCTCTCTTTCGGTGGTATTTGAGTGTCTGTGCGGTTTTATTTTTTTGCGCTATAAAACAAAAAAAGACCGACAATTTTGAGAAAAACACAGTATTTTTGACTTTTTGCTATTAACCATTTCAATACCGTGCAATTTTACACCTTCCTGCCCAGGCCATTTTTCAGGTTTCAGCGCTCTCACACTTTGAATGACAATTGCGCGGTCATACCACATTGTACCCAAACTAAAATGTTATCATTTTCTTCACACAACTAGAACTTTCTTTTGGTGGTATTTAATCACCGCTGGGGTTTTTATTTTTTGCTAAATTAACAAAAAAAGACCAAAAATTTTGGGAAAAAAAAAAAAAAAACACGTTTTTCTTTGTTTCTGTTATAAAAGTTTACAAATAAATAATTGTTCTTCATAAATTTAGGCCGAGATGTATTCTGCTACAGGTCTTTGGTGAAAATAACCCAAATTAGGATGTCTTTAGTTTGTAGGAAAGTTATAGAGTTCACAAACTATGGTATAGATCTGAAAATTGATCAATCCTGAAGTACTGACAGCCAATCTAATTTCTAGAGGTCCAAGAATGTCAGAATAGTACAGATATCCCCAAATGACCCCTTTTTGCAGAGTAGACAGTCCGACGTATTTCATAAGAGGCATGGCGAGTTTTTTGAAGTTGTATTTTTTTTGTCATAATTTTTCGGAAAATGAAAAAATTAAAAAATCTATTTTCACTATTTTTTTTTTTTTTACATACTGTCACCAGTGCAGTACAGCGTCATCATATAACTGGCATTGCAGTGAACAGGGACACTGACTGGTGACAGTATGAAAAAAAAAATATATTTTTTTATTATTTTTAATTTTGTATTACATTTTTTTAAATTTTTTTTCATATTTTACTATGACCAAAGTAGTACAGTGTTACCATAGTAACATTGTACTACTTTGGGGAAGTGATCAGTATTTTTTTTTTTTTTTTTTTTTAACACACAATTTGCTTATAGCAAATAATTACTTTGCTATAAGCAAGCATTTACCTGAATGAAATCGATTCATTCAGCTTTTTTTTTTTTGTGCTTAGCTGTGATTTGGTCACAGCTAATCACATGACATGTGCATGTGATTAGCTATGACCATTCACAGCTAGGCACTAGTATACAATGGATGGAATGAAGCCATCCATTGTATACAACTGTCATGTGACCTGCTGTGATTGGTCACAGCAGGTCACATGGTACCTGCAACGGGGGGCCGGGTACTCAGATCTGTCATCGGCCGTGTCCAAAGTACGCGGCCGGTGACAGATCGCGCTGCTGCGCCGCTCTGCATTAGCGCAAACTGCGCATGTGCGGGAGCACGCCAAATGGCGTGCACCCGGAATACAGCAGCACATTTGAAGCCGCCAAACGGCCATTGGCCGGGCGGCTAATGGTTCAACATGTCTAATAAAAAAAATTTTTAATAAATCAAATTTCGGCATAAATTTAGAGCAAAATGTATTCTGCTACATGTCTTTGCTAAAAAAAAAAAAAAAAAAAAAAAAAAAAAAAAAAAAAAAGGGATGGCTACTGATCAGAGCTGTAATTCCTAAACCCTTCCTCCAATTTGGATGTACATACCCTCAAATTAAACCTGAGAGTGTGCACTTTCAGCCCATATCCATTATATAACTATAGATTGAATATGTTAACTAGTAATGGCAGCGATTAGCAACTTATAGCGGGACTGCGATGGGCATTCTGACGGGGGGGGGGGGGGGGGGGGGGGGGGGGGGGGGGGGGGACTGACTTGGTGTCACTGACACCAATACAGTGATCAGTGCTAATAAGCACGAACACTGTACTAATGGCACTGGGCAGGAAGGGGCTAACTGCACAGTTTACTGTGAGGCTGTGTGTGCTTTCCACTCTGCTATGCAGAGCCATACAAAAGCAGTGTGCAAGAGGTGACGAGGGATATAACTGTATTGTTTACATACAGTTCTCTACCCCATAGGTAATACTCTGCAATCACCGAGTGTCGGTGATTGACAGCCGAGGCCACGAAGGGCAGCAAAGGTAAGGCGTGTGCGTGGCTCGCACCACCTACCCGGAAATGCAAAATCACTTATATGTACATAAACAATGTTGCGCACCCCTGCCGCCCTGTAGCAGCATTTCTGCTATAGGGTGGCGGGAAAGCGGTTAGACTCAGCAGTGTTGCAATGTAGAAATGCTTTAGTGGGTACAGGAGATTTTCAGAATGATGCAAGGTGCATTACAGAAAAGTCAGCCTTGGGCTCAAACAATTAAAGTACAGCTATGACTCTTCAGTCTTAAATTATAAGCCCAATCATGACATTCTATTTAACATTTATGTATCACTAAGCATTTATACACAGTACTTAAGTGCAGGTTATTTCCTTCCTAGTTAGGCATTTAAACTTTTATAAATCGTCAAAATAAAGAGCATTCCTCTGTATGGAAGAAGAAAAGTATACCTCGCTTCGAGTAACCACAATTCGAATCAAAGTGGAATCATCTGTACCAGCTCCCTTCATGGCCTTGTAAAGTCTTTCTGCAAAATAGGCTGGACGGTTCATAGCACACAGTACTGTAAGAAGAAATCAGCATATTACTCATAGGATCAATTCACCTTGACCATGCTATATAAACCAGAACGGCGATAATTTGAGCACTAGGTAAAGTGCTCTGCCTACACTGGCCTGTACCATTATTACAATGTGCGGGATATCTACCACTGTGAAAACACGTCATTGCCTTTATTGTGTCATTTTCAGACAGACTAGAGCTCATACTTACAGATTGCCTTTAGTCCATCTTCTATGTAGCCAGAAAATTCACGGCCGATGACGCTTAGCAAGTCCCGCTTTGAAATCTATAAATGACCAAGGAGGACATTTATTAATGGTGTCACAAAATATTTTTTTCAGATTGGAGAAAAAAAAACTATTAGAAACAAAAATCCTAGCAGGTTTGGATATGTATTCCCTCTCCAGGGTTTAAAGGGTATCTAAACCAAAGATCAAAATTTGCAGCTACCCATCTGTGTTCCAGTTCATACAGAACTCGGCTATTCAGGTTGGACCAGTGTGTCTGGGGATTCCTTAGGAGGTTATCAGTCCAGAGCTGAGGCTGTGTTCCTGTCCCTGTTGCTAAAACTCACCACTGAAAGTACATAGCAGGCATTCAGGTAAAAAACCTTAAGCATGTACAACCACTACACTTAAAAACAAATAGTTTTACGATGGAGAAAAGGTGCATAAACTTGAATCTGTAATTTGCCCTTTTTAATATAATAAAAAAATGTAGGTCTAACTTTGTGTTTACTAACATTGTTCAGGAATGAAATAAGCAGGTAGTTTTGTTTTTACCTTCAGCCCTGCATGCAAGCAGCAGCTCTCTCCTCTCGGGTAGAAGCATTTAGGTGGCAGCGCTGCCATTGATTGCTTCCACACAGTGTCAGTGTCTCCCCTCTGTGCTACAGCCTTCATGTCTTTGAACATGTGTGATGGGAGGACACAAGCATCCAACAGCCCTGGCAGTGTTAAATGCTACAGTTCAAAGTAACTGCTGAGTGTAGTAGTCAAGTCGGAGAACTACAGCGAATTGTGGGAATCTAACACTCCCAGAAATGGCAAATGCATCCAACTGACAGGAGCTGTAGGTCACCAGAGGTAAGTATACCAAAAAGCTGGCATTGGGGATTACGGATAGGCCAGACAAGGTTGATTTAACACATGGAATTCTTTCCTGATCTCTAGTTGCAATCTGATAAATTCCTGAACTTTTCCGCACAGTATTTTTATACATGTAGCTGACCCTTTATACTTTGTTCTTTAAGGGACAATACTTCTAGTTCTTTATTTTTAAAATCTGTTAAGAGGCAGTTCTAGTAGAAGATAATTGCAAGGGGTGCTCTTGTAAACTGAGCTTACATTCAACTTGTACCAAGAGAGAGGATGGGGTGGCATTCATCCTTACCTTCCAAATGACCACTTGCCTGGCAGTCCAGGCTTCAGTATTCATTCAGTGGCAACACAACTTCTGTCTGCTTATTTTTTATTTATTTATTACAGGTACTTATATAGTGCCATCAATTTACGCATTCACATCAGTCCCTAACCCTCAAGGGGTGCACAATCTACAGTCCCTAACTCACATTCATACATACTAGTGCCAATTTAGACAGGATCCAATTAACCAGCACGTCTTTGCAGTGTGGAAGGAAACCAGAGTACCCGGAGTAAACCCACGCAGGCACAGGGAAAACGTAAACTCTACACAGGTGGTGCCATGGTTGGGATTCAAACCAATGACCCTAGTACTGCCAGGTGGAAGTGCTAACCACTTAGCCACTGTGCTTACATGGTCCAGGACAGTACATCTGAAAGTATTAACCTCTGTTCTAAAAATCCTGTCCAAATGACTAACTACTGCAGCCTCCATATTCTCAATGCAGGCTCTCTTTACAACTAGTGATAACAAAGAGATATGGCGCCTTTCCTCCAAGGCAAAAATTACTACCTGTGCAAAACCATACCATTAACTAGGAGCACCACTAGGTGCTCTTAAAGGGGCAGCACTGGCTCTTAAAAGGGGCAGCTACAACAATATTGCAACGCACCGATATGGTGCAGGTGTACATAGGGCTCACTATATTTGTATTTCACTTTTGGTAATATGTGAATGGCATTATGGTTCTGCACAGGCAGTCATTTTGCTTGGAGGAAAGGTGCAATAGCTTTCATTTTTTTATTTGGTTCATGGTATTTGGAGAGTGTATGCGCCCACTTTTAGTTTCACTTTAAAACTAGTGGTTTGCCATTAAATCTTCTCATGTGGGCAATTTATATGTAGTTATTTCACACCTGATATTAGCAAAGGTGGTTTGATTACCTAATTTAACTACAGATAATCCTTCCTAGTATGTAATGTCCTTGGTTTCAATTTAGTTTTTCTCAGCATTCTTTCAGCATTTTCTTTCCTATCCTTTTGGTGAACTGGTGTATCATCATCCACAGCCTTCAGACTGACAATTTTGCCTCTACACAGAGCACAGTCCCTTTTAATACAAGATAATGTCTTGGTTAGCTGCTGCAGAGTATATTAAGTATACAGTGACGGAAATAAGTATTTGATCCCGTGCTGATTTTGAATGTTTGCCCACTCACAAAGAAAGGATCAGTCTAAAAATCATATGGTAGATGTATTGTAACCCAGACAGAATAGCAACAAAAACATTCAAAAGAAATGCATGTTTAACATATTATGCACTGATTTGCATGTTCATGAGGGCAATTAGTAAAATTTGATCCCCTATCATTCAGCAGGATTTCTGGCTACCAGGTGTCTTTCATACAGGTAACAAGCTGAGATTAGAAGCAGTCTCTTAAAGGGAGTGCTGCTAATCTCATTTTGTTACCTGTATAAAGGACACCTGTCCACAGAAGCAATCAAACAATCAGATTCCAAACTCTCCACCATGGCAAAGACCAAAGAACTGTCCAAGGATGTCAGGGACAAGATTGTAGACCTACACAAGGCTGGGCTACAAAACTATCGCCAAGCAGCTTGGTGAGAAGGTGACAACAGTTGGTGCAATCATTCGCAAATGGAAGAAACACAAAACAACTGTCAGTCTCCCTAGGTCTGGTGCACCATGCAAGATCTCACCTCGTGGAGTGTCAATGACCATGAGAACAGTGAGGAATCATCCCAGAAACAACATGAGGATCTTTCAATGATCTCCAGGCAGCTGGGACCACAGTCACCAAGAAAACAATTGGTAAAAACACTGCCTATGACCCCAAGAAACACCATCCCAACTGTCAAACATGGTGGTGGAAACATTCTGCTTTGGGGGTGTTTTTCTGCTAAGAGGACAGGACAACTGCACCGCATCAAAGGGACGATGGATGGGGCAATGTACCATCAAATCTTGGGTGAGAACCTTCTTCCCTCATCCAGGGCATTGAAAATGTGTCGTGGATGGGTGTTCCAGCATGACAATGACCCAAAACACACGGCCAAGGCAACAAAGGAGTGGCTCAAGAAGAAGCACATTAAGGTCCTGGAGTGGCCTAGCCAGTCTCCAGACCTTAATCCGATTGAAAATCTGTGAGATACCTGAAAAGTTTGAGTTGCCAAATGTCAGCCACCAAACCTTAATGACTTGGAGAGGATCTGCTAAGAGGAGTGGGCCAAAATCCCTCCTGCGATGTGTGCAAACCTGGTGGCCAACTACAGGAAACGTCTGAGGATCAAATACCTATTTCCCTCATGACCATACAAATCAGTGCATAATTTGTTAGACATGCATTTCTTTTGAATTTTTTGTTGCTATTCTGTCTCTGTGTTACAATACACCTACCATTCGATTTTTAGACCAATCATTTCTTTGTGAGTGGGCAAACATTCAAAATCAGCAGGGGATCAAATACTTATTTCCTTCACTGTATTTTATCTTTTCCACATTGCCTCTATACATCAGTTACCCATAGCTTTAATTTTTATAACTTGGTGCAAACAGCAAGCAAAATAGATTGGCTTTACACAGCTCAGTAATATGGTATTATGCATCTTCCAGGTCACAGCAGGGACTAGCAATGGCAAGAATTTAACATACAGTGTTCAGCATAATTGAGTACACCCCTTTTTGAAAAAGTAAGATTTAATCAATCTCAATGAACACAAGAACAATTTCCAAAATTGACATACGTTTTATAGAACATTTGTTTAGCTCATTATATGAAAGTAAGGTTATTATAACAGATTACAAAATCTTCAGCTTTACTCAAATTAGTTGATGCAAAAATGAATACACCCCACAACAAAAAGTAAACATGGAATGGAATGAACAAGTTGGCTACATATTGCAACATCTATCTTTTTCCATTCTTCAAGAAGGATCTCGTTTAGAGCCTGGATATTGGATGGAGAGTGATGCTCAACTTTTCTCTTTAGAATTCCCCATAGGTGTTCGATTGGATTCTGCTCAGGAGACATACTTGACCACTGAATCACTTTCACCCTGTTCTTCAGAAATAAAAAAGTGGCCTTAGATGTGTTTTTTTGGATCATTATCATGTTGGAAAAAGTGCATGACGACCAAGGGCACGAAGTGATGGATCTTCTCTATCTGTGAATTCATGATACCATCAGTGAAATGCAGCTCCCAGACACCAGCAGTACACCACATTTCACTGTAGGCACCAAGCAATTTTCTTTGTACTCCTCACCTTTGCGACGCCATACAGTTTTGAAGCCATCAGTTCTAAAAAACATTTATCTTGGTCCCATCACTCCAGAGTACAGAGTCCCAGTAGTTGTCTTTTTCAGCATGGGCCCTGGAAAATTCTTGGCGGGCTTTTTTGTGCATGGGCTTTAGAAGAGGCTTCTTTCATAAACAACACCTATGCATGCCATTTCTCTGCACTGTACACTGTGTTGTATCACTGGAAACAATCACCCCAGTTTGGCTTTCTACTTCTTTAGATAACTGCAGTGAACTTGCATGGCGATTTTCTTCAAACCTTCTCATCAGATGCTCCTGTCAAGGTGTTAACCGTGGGCGGCCTGGACATCTCTATGAGATCTTTGCTAAATTTTTGTATAACTTTTGCTACAGTATTCTGAGTGATAAGTAAAGCTTTGCTGATCTTCTTGTGGCCTTCACCTTTTTTGTGTAAAGAAAATTTTCTCAGGCCTTGTGACATTTCTCTTCCATGTGCTGCGATTGCTGACAGTATGAAATGGGAAGGGGTTTTCTTTGTTAAGTAACGCCCTTTTGTAATCAACTGTGTGCTAGACACCTGTTTAATGAATAATTAGACCCACCTGTAGTTGAATTCTTGTTAATTTGGATTTTGTTGTCTAAAATTTAGCTTTGCTCCTAAGACTTTCCTTGGGGTGTATTCATTTTTGCAACACGGTCTTGAATGAATTTGTTGGAAAAAAATACTTTTTTGTGAGTGCAAATTAACAAATCTTGCTTGCAATCAATGGCCCACATTTGTGGAGTATTTTGTAGTATATAGTGTCCCATAGAAAATGTTGATTCTGAAAGGAAAGTAAAGGTTTTCTGCCAAATGTGTACTCATTTATGCTGAGCACTGTACATCTGTATTCTATGTGAAATGAGTAATTGACAAACTGTAGACATTTTACCTAGTATTCACATAATACAAAAATCACTATGAACTTTGAAAAAACACAACACAATAAAAAAAGACCATAGAATTCTGAGATGCAGACAGCACAACTGTTTAGCAACAAAGCTTAATACATACACATGAAACAACTTGTAAGGTGATCAACTTTCCTGTAATTGTGAAATAATTGCAGTAGAAAAAAAAGGGCATATAGCTAAAAAGTCAAAGTATAAAGACTACACAAAGAAATATGAAGAATTAGACTGTGGCCACAAATTCTAAAGGCTGGACCCATTACTTTACACTCCTTACCCTGGCATAAGCCTCGGCAACCGCTTTCAGCTGTGGATAGCTTCGACTTGCCAGCACCAAATTAAAGGCGGGACTCATCTGTTCCCAACTTTCCTTCACCGGCCTGATAGAGGCGCTGGGCATCAGATTCAGCTTGCTGCATGTTCACACTGGTATTTTCATCCCGATTGCCCTGAGGAAAGCAGATGCACTTTCAGCATTTAGCAACCCTCAAAGACAAACTAGGTTACCACAAAATGTCCTATAGTTAATATGCAATAGACAGAATTCCAAGAGGCCCTCTCTAGTTCAAGAGTATATCAGATAGGAAATCAATAGTACTTTATGTATCATGGTTTAAATGTCGCTGCAGCTATGGAAGTTATCACAGAACAACTTATTTTTTTACATGACAGTCTACATTTAAATGTGATGTGAATAGTTCATAGAATTTAAGTCACATTTAACCACTTGAGTACCTACCTGTATATGCCCCCTCCTTACCAGGCTATTTTTCAGTTTCCAGTGCCATGTTAGTTTGACAAATACTCTGCCACCCAACAATATCCAAATAACATTTTTGTCGGTTTTTGAGATGGACCAAGCTATTTTTGGAGGCATTTAGTAATCACTGGGTTTTTACTATATAGAAAAAAAAGGTCTGGGGGGTGGGGACGACTTAAAATTGTTTTCCTACCTTTGTCCATTTTTTTTTTTAGTGTCCCCAAAAATGTCCCCATTTTGGAAAGTAGGCACCAACAGGAGAGAACAGGGTGAGCAATGGAATATCTGTGGGTTCTGCTTCTTTATGCACCAATCAGAGATCCGTGGGCAGGGAGGTGACCCAAATATTCAGCAAGAGACTATTGTCTATGCCCCATTACTCCTTGGTTTTAAAAATTGTCTTCACACTATGAATTACTATTGAAGCATAAATGTGGTGCCCACTCTTGTCCTGGTCTCCTATCTTGCAGCCAAAAAACCTATGGAGCGGTATTACGTAAAATGTGTGACTAACTCACAGTGAATCTAATAAGGAATCTTAATTGTGATAAAACGTCTACCAGAGGTCCTGAGTGTGGTTTTATCTAAATATTGTGTTCTGTCACCACTCCAAGTGTTTAAAAAATTGTCTTCACACTATGAATTTTTTGCATAGCTGCCTGGGACCATTTGTAGACTTTATCCATTTAGTCACGTATGACTTCTTGAACTTTGCGCTTGGGATTTTATGTTGTTGTCAAGCCAAAGGAATAGCAACCAGAAATATGTTCCATGTCAGAACTAAAGGATTAGCCCAGATGGGTCCAAACACACACCAAAAATGCAAAGCACTAAGTCTCCCAATGTGAACTGCCATAGCCAAAAATCAGACTTTTGATTGTACTCAAGGCCAAATCGTGGTCATCTCCCGATTGGAGAATGCCAGGATATGTCCCATGACATACAAGGATAAAGTCCATTAGCCTTACACCAGTTAAAAACCAAAGACTTCCAGGTCCTGTGGTAAATCTTCCTCAAAGTCTCCTTTCTAGCCTTTAACAGGTTAAGAATGACTAAACAGAATCAGTGACATGCGTCTCTTAGGGCCTTGGCTTCAACAGTCATGCCATTAAAGCCAAAGGGTATAAAATGGACAGGAGGTTGGGTCAATCCGGAAATGTCCATGGCTCGTCCACTAACAAGTTTGTTGGAGTACTAAATTTTCCTGGGCCAGGCTTGGGTGATCAGAATCACCAGGATACCTTCCACTTGAATCCTGCAAAGTAGACAAGGTAGAAAGACACAGCATCCGCCATGAATGCTTGGAGGTTCCTGATCCTGCATATGAATCTGTTCAGCTTTGCACTGAACCTGGATGCCAGAAGATCCACATCCATTGTTCCCTACCTTCTACAGAGTTCTTCAAACACTTATGGGTGAAGAGCCCACTCCCTTGAAGTCAGTCACTGATAGTGGAGAAAGTCCGCCAGACAAATTTTTCATGCCAGGAAAGTGTGATATGAAGATACCCTGTGTCCTCTGATGTGTTAATAAGAAATACTTGTTTGCAAGTACATCATCTCCATATACAGTATGTATTTCAACTGTGTATTTAGTGGTTTGCGTAGAATGCCACATTAAATCACTGCTTTAAAATAAGCTCTACTGTAACACTTAATGCTCTAAATAATTTGTGACAACAAGCAATCAGCTAACCTGGCACATAGACACAAGCAGTCTTTCAAAGTGGCCAGAGGTGTCAGATCGGATATCCTTTTCAATGTCCCGTCCAAACTCTGACTTGTAGGTTGCTACTATGTTTCTTATTTCAGCATTGGTCCTGGAGCACAGGATCTCAATCAACACCTTCTCCTTTGTTCCTGCACCCTAGAGGAAAAATTAAGAACATTAAGGCATTATGTTAAAGTGCATCTTGGAGAGGGGGGAGGGAAGAAAAAAAAGTCTCCAGAATTACAATGTGTGTTTGGAAGATGGCAGAAGTGTCATAACTGACTGGTGTATTAAGCTGCTTGCATGTAGTTTCCCCCACACAAAAACCAAAAATGTTTATTATAGAGTTTGGGACAGTTCTATACTATACAATGTCAGTTCTGGATATAGGAAATGGAGCCATCTTATGGCTGCATAGAAGGAGGGGGAAAAAAAGGAGTATAAATAGTTTGATTTTGGATTGCAAACACCATCAATTCCTCTACATGTAAATTTATCAGTTCATAATATTAAAGGGGGAAAAAAAATGAACCCCTTTGTCCCTTATGTTTTTAGCTTCTTTCAAACACACCCTGGCTAAGCCTGTCAATGTTTGCTATGCACCATTTCATCATCCCCCCAACCACCACTGAATTCAACTATTCATGAACCTACATTCAATGCTGCAGTCTTATTAAAACACTGAAATACCTTCATGGCATGATGCAAACTCCAAGCATCATAGTATGTTGGAGGCATAAACAGCGCAAGGATGAGTTCTTCAACATTTCCACTTAATTCAGACTTCAGATCTTTAATCAAATCCTTTAAATAATTGAAAAAAAAAAAAGTTTAAAATAATTTAAACGATTCCTGTAAATACAAATAAGACACAGTTTATAAACTTGTAAGTTTAAAAAAAACTTGCTTGGATTGTCATTTTGAAAAGGCCTTTTATTGGGACTGTAACTGTTAAGGTCCACAGTACCTAAACAGAAGGTTGTGTGCGCTTTAATATCATGCACCACTTAGATTACATAATACACATCTGCCTACTTTCCTTGCAGCAATATAGCGCTGAATTCTACTAAGTGCCAGTTTAACACCCAAGCAGGACTCTTGGCTGCAAAAAAAGTCGACTTTATTGGACCCAAACCAGGTTAGCAAAATGAAACTACCAATGGGGGGAAAAAAAAAAAATTTTTTTTCCAAGGGTCCCTCTGCTTTTTTTTTTCCACTTAAAAAGTGGAAGGTCCACCTGCATAAATTATAATACTGGCAAAGTGACCAGAGACCTTTGCCAATTACCGGTTTTTGGCTCCAAGGCCCAAACTGTATATAGGACCTTGCCTTTAAAAGGATAAGTTCACCTTTACAGAAAAAATAATAAATGCACATTTTTCTGCCGGTAACAAAAATGTGCATTTATTATTTTTTGTGTTAGGAGCCTCTAAAGCATTGCACCAGCAATCAGCAGTTCACTGATGCCATGCAAGTCTCCTGCAGACTGTCATCCCAGACAAACAAGCTGATACTTCTGACAGAAAGAATCAATGAATTACCTCGGCGCTCACAGCACCGTTGTAGTCCATTGAGGACTACAAGCTGAAAGCCAACAAGGCTGTAGTCCATTCAATCACACAGCACTGTGAATGAATGAAGTGGACGTGTGGGCGATGATTTAAAAAGTGGCAGCTAGTATGGGGAACTTCTCCCAGTACTTCTTTCATAGGGACAGGGGGCAGCGGGTGGCAGCTGCAGGATCGGAAACGTGTTACATGTTCCACCACGACAAACTGAGCCGGAAGTGGGAGTGGTTACCTGTCAAAACCAACCAACCCAAAAGGTGCCAAATGTGGCAGCGGAGAGGGCGAGAGGAGGCAGATAAGACTAGCTTCCACTTGGGTGGAACTCCACTTTAAGTAGATGGCAGTGACTGGACTCTTAACAGATTAATGACAGTGATATCAGGGTCTGGTTGCTAGGGTGTGTGTACAAGCTTCTACGGGGTGAGGTGTGTGTGGAAGCACTACACACAGCTGTATAAAAAAAGCTTGTAGTTTGCGCCCTGTCATTTAGCAGTACATCAAAAGGTCTTGCTCACATTATGCCATTACATATTTTCAGCAACGTGTAAGATTCGGTACTGAATGCACCAAGCTTACAAAATTCTTAAGGCCAGGTTGACAGTCTTTGCATCAGTCTATGGGAACACAAAAACAGCTAACAGCATATCAAAAATATAACCAAGTAATTCAGAATGATCTGAAAAGCATCTCAAACTGATGAAAAAAAAACGCTACATTTACCTAATGAAAGTAGCCCACTTGCCCACATTTAGAGAATGCCAGACACCGGGTTAGGATCACATCACATACACACATTTTATATATATATATATATATATATATATATATATATATATATATATATATATATATATATATATATATATATATGTATGAATGAAGAAAAAAAACACAATTTTTTCTTGTGTGTATGTACACACACACACAGAAAAATTGTGTTTTTTTCTTCATTCATTGGTATGTGTGCTTGTCAGTACACATTGATGCAATAAAACTTACCTTGCCATAAGCAGTTTTAAATGCAGCCTTAATTTTCTGTCTCTGGTCAGCGGAACGATTAGCAACAACATCAATTATTGCTTGCTCATCGGTTCCTGCAAAAAAAAAAAAACAAAACAAAATCAGTACTTTGATCAGCTGCTAGGAGCTGCCATATTGTATGCACAGAAGTTCAGGTCTCCAGCTGTCCAACCACTAAATCACCAGGGTTCAAATTCTAGTACAGCAGCAACCAATTTTTATTAAAAAAAAAAAAAAAAAAAAAAAAATTAAAGATGCATACCAAACCCCTTCATGGCTTTTCTCAGCTTTTCCGCATCTGCCAGTGCATCAAAATTTGCTGCAGCTTTGATGGTGCCCTGGGTCGCAGTCATGGCTGCTGCAAAAGGCTGCAAAACAATGAACAACAATTGAAATCCCTTACAAGAACAAACAGACGAGTGAAAATATGGGAGTCAGGAGACTCAGACATTAAGGGCCCATTCACACCAGAAACGGCAAATAACTGCACATTTTTGACTACATGCATTTGAATTGCACTTTACGCGCGCTTGCTGTGTGTTTGATGCGCATTTGCATGCGTTTTGCACTGCATTTATCATGCATTTTAGGCTTGGCTTACTTCTATTTCCTTTGAGGCCCTATTTCTTCATAGTTTGTAGAGAAGCATGTGCCATCATTGGTACAGGCAGAAGGGGAGTCCATGTGATCACTGCACTCTGTTCTTGAAGACTTTATGACTGATATGGCTATCCTGATAAACACATGCCGTAATCAACTTACCAGTGTTCTCATTTCTGTCTGTTTCTTCATACTCCGGGTAAATCCTTGCTGTAATTTTCTCCTAGATCTGCTTTTTTCTTCTGTTGTCCTTATAATGCTTATGTCTGGAGTCATAGTGCACAGGGTACTCCAGAACCATTGTGATGAAGTACTCTACATCTATGACTCACCTGTATGCCATTATGGCTCTACACTGGCTTTCCACAATCCCCACATACACCGATCCAGGAAGTGGAATGGGGAGGGACAGGTTTAATATTCAGTAAAAATATTTTTTTTTTGTGCCTAAAAATGCTCTCTATTTTTAAACTGCGCTACACTGCACTGATGTGAACTATGCCTATAGGATTATAACTGGGTATGCAGTTGGAGTGCATTCCAAAATTCAGTTACCTGCATCCTACTGTGTTGGGTGTGAAAGGGCCCTTACTGTGAAACGTTAAATGAGAACACTTCCATATAGTTTTATGCTATAATGGATTCACACAAATAACATTAAAAAAAGCAAAAACTCCTAAGCATAGCTCTCTTAGGACTGTTTTTCAAGCAACTCCATTTTATTCTGTATACTTGTGTCAATTATTTTGGGTTATGAAAAGTCATTGTGCAGTGGACATCCCTTGAATAACACAAGGGAAAAAAAAAATGGACACAGGTTAGGCTGGGTACACAGGCCGAATATCGGCCGGTTCAATAGAAAGTGGCTGTGTATGCACAGCGTCCTTTCCAACAGAAGCCAGTCTGACGACCAGCCTTTGTCGAAGAGACGCGCTAGAAAACCAGGATTTGATCAGCACTCGCAGGCAATTGCTGATCATTGTGTTCTGGCATTGGGGGGAGTACCCCTGTCAAAGGCACAGCGGTGGAGTTTGCTGCACTAACACTGCGAATTAGTGTGGAGATCTGCCTTTTTTTTTTTTTTTTTGGATATGTGTGTACCAGACATTACTGTTTGCTATGTAGGTCTTGCTATACTGGTGAAGAACTTTGCCAAGCAATAAACAAAAATTGTGCAGAGACTCTAAACTATGCCCACTCGGCTCTGGGGTTACTCCACTTTCTGTATTATACTGGGTTCCATTGGGACACTTCTTAACTTGAGACAATCTTATTGAAGAGAGTAGAATACTTTTGCAGCCCCTGACATTTGCATTCAGTTTGTGGTGTCGACCTTCAAAGGCCTTTTCTTTTTATTTTAAGTTAACATAAAAGATGATATCTAGATAAGAAATCTATACTGACTGGAAGAGGGAGCACCAGCACTAAAAGAATCTCTGTTTGCTGCAGCACATCATTTGCCAAGTACCATGCTGTCACTAGAACAGATTAGAGGAATCCTCTCCTTAGCCCGGTTCACATATGCAAATTGTATGCGTTTTGAACCAAATCTGATTTGAATGACATACAAACCAAACCAGCTTTCTATGTAGCCGATTCACATATGTGCAGGCCGGCCACAGTGCGATTTTAAAAAGAGTCAGGTATGATTTTCAGTCCGGTTCAGGTGCAGTTTCCAGTGTCGTACACTTTAAAAAATTCACACGTGAACTGCTGAACGAAAATCACACTGGACTCAACAAATCACACAAACTGGCCCCGCACATTTGTGAACCCAGTCTAAGTCTGTTGCTGCCCTCTTCTCCTTACAATCACAGGCTGGGGCAGGTAGGTGACCAGGCTGAACAGCTTCACTGCACCAAAGAAGTGTCAGGTCACCAAATTTACTCTGCTCGCTGTATGAACTACAGAAATACCATGAATGGATGGACTGAAAAAAAATATTTAACAGGTAAAACCAATGCCATATATGCATTTCCACCACGTATTTAGTGGTTTGCCTGGAGTTCAGCTTTAAAGAAAATCCACAAAACAGCAGACAACCCAGTTATCCCCATTTCACCTACCACATGAAGCCTTTACACATCTACTGCTCAGGATTAAATGAAAGGTGTTATGAGCAGACAAATGCTACTAGGCCATGACGTGTTGGTCTAATATCATCATCACCCTCAAACAGAACAGCAGTGTTGCAAAAAGGGAACCTAAAAAAACTTTTGGTCAATTTTAGAGCATATATAAAAAGGTGAAATGGTTTGTTTTAGTTTTGGATTGAGTACGCAGGCTAGAACCCCAGTCAGGTTTTTATTCCCATCTGTGTTCCCACTGTGTAGATTCAGGCTACTGGGTTACAGGAGAAAACTTTAACAGTGATGGAAAAATGTTAAATGCTACAAGTTTACAGTTGTACCTAGAACAGGAGACCAGAGAACATAATCAACAAGGACACCTGTTCTAGTTTGACAACTATCATGGGAGTTCTCCTCACTTCATACAGATGCCAAGGGCTGTAAAATCCGTGGTTTTACTGCTCCATTGCTGCCAACCTGAATCCTAACACATGCAACATTTTTAACTCTGGCTGAAAGTGATTTCAATGGAGCCATGCGCTGGGCTCTCTGTTGCAGCAGTCTCGCGATTGCCATTCAGCAATAAAAAAAATAACACAATGAATAAACACACACACGTCAGGAGGTGGTGGTGGACGTAGTGCCTCCTAAAACGCCTGTTATTCACTGGAAGTGAAAGGAAATGACCCTTAAGGAACACAGCAAAAATTACTTAATAGGGGGTTTAACCCATCCTTACAAACTTAAAAAAAAAAAAAATAATAATAATATTGTGGCTATGCATGCACTACACAGTACTTCTCCATTTTCACTCATCAGTTTACTTTCCTTTCATCTTCTGAACTAGTAAGAGAGTCCTATAGTGTCCAACAACAAGCTCCATTTTAGGGATTGCCAGCACTCTGTGAAATCTTTGCAATTAGTACTCTATTGATAGCATAAACTATGAATATGATCCTATTACTGTTACTGTCCAGTAAAAGCAATCCAAGCAGCTTTACAGGCGCCCAATAACTTTTACAGCACTCTGATAAAATGGGCTGCACAAATATTGTGTGAAAAAAAATTCCAAAAGCTATCATTTTATTTTCCAGGGCCTCTGCTTTCGGACAATAAAATATGTCATGTTTGGAGATTCCAAGTAATTTTTTTAGAAAAAAAAAAAAAAAAAAAAATTTTTTTTTTTTTTTTTTTTTTTTTTAACAGGTATGTTAAAATTGCCCTGGTAGGCGGGCAGTTAAAAAAATAAATGCACCACATCAGGTTTACAGAATAACACTCCCCCTTCAAAATGTCAAGAAATGTTTATGGGTGATGTCTGTTGAGCATGCATAGAATGATATTGGAGATCTGTGTAATACACCTTAGCGAACACAGCACACACTCATGCAATCACCTTGCTCCAACAAGCTTTATGCCAGGGTAACACAGGATAAAGCATCGCAGTGTAAGCAGGTATATGGTAAAGGCAACATAAGGCAGAATTAGGGCAGCAAAAAAAAGAATTAAAATATATTCAGTATGAACAGACATTTGTTAGGATGGCAATATATACTAGTTTTACACAAAGCCACATATTTTAGTAAAGGAGTTGTTTAGGTAGCACAATACAAGTACGCTTTTACTATCCTGGGTAGCAAAATAAAATTGTGTGCTACAGGGGAGCAGAGCTCCAGGCAAAAGGAAAATACTATATGACTAAATTATGAATTTATTTTAAAATTCATGTCACAATTTCCAGTTTTAAAATTGCTGGCTTGATTACTCAAAACCTCTATCCCCAAGGAAAAGAAGTCAGGCTAAGAGTGGATGCACCTACATTGTGTGCAAGCTGGGTTCTCCTGTATTGCACATTGTCATTCTTACATGTTTCAGGAACAAGCTAGGGAAGCGTTTACAGGAGCAGAATGGATTAGGAGCGTCAGAACACTTGCACAGTCTTTGTTATACCAATGTGCATGCTGGAGTGGCGACACACAAAGCAGCTCAACTAGCTTCCTGCTCTGAATAGCGACATGATCCTCTAACAATATGGTGTGCAATAGATGTGGAAATCCCAGCAGTGGCTGAACATTTATACCGTATCTTGCACCATCAGCACATAGCAGGCAATTCCAGTTGCCTGCTTGGCAGCTATCTTTTTGGTCCAAGTACCTCTGGTGACCAGAAAGCCTGCTAATCTGACAGAGATGATACTTCCAATAAAAATGTGTTGAAACCCTGACTCTGCCCCCTACCAACTTCTGAGCTTTACTACCGACCATGTAAGCCACTAATAATGGGAGAATAATGAGACTAGGAAAACAGAAGGGGCAGGGGCCAGGCTCCTAACCCATCTCAGAAAGTATTTGCATATCAGTGCATTTGGGGTGTTTAAATTAAAAGTTGACCTGGCCACGTGCCCTCAGGAGGTGCCAGCTACTGCAGACAGTGCAAAATTTGTAACATTTTAGTTCAGGTGAAAACCTAAAAATTATTTTTAAGTTGATGATGTACCTGCATCTGATTTGATATCTGTACGTAGGTAATGCCCTGCACAGCAGAGTTCATAGTGGGAGAGAGAGGGGAAGCATTTTAAAAAAGTCAGGGTCTGCTTCACTGCACAGTGCTGTCCACCTAACCCTGAAAACCTCCTGACAAATGTGCTGCTGGTAATGCTCCTGCCTTACTCAGTCACAGATGGACAATACAGACAGTCTAGTACTTGGATCCCAACTACACTGTGGCCTGTAGAAAGGTCTATGGGAGTGCTGTAGCTGGTTTTGCTATCTGGTGGGGTGCCTAAATCACAAGACTGACTAAACGGAATTGCTAATCTTTTGGCAAGCAAGGCTGTTCACATATATGCTGTGAATTTAACATTTTGCCTGGCGCTCCACTTTAATAAAACTTGTTATAGAATAAAATAAAAAAACATGCAATATTTTTATGTGCACAGAGCAGTTCACATCAATGCATAACATACCTGATACTGCATGCTGACCTACAATATAATAGTCACATTTTTTTTTAAAGCAATAGATATGTATATTACCCTTGTTACAGTTCTATTATGGAGCTATAGATCTAGGTTTCACAAAACAATATAATCAGTTGTCTGTTATCATTTGTCTTTACTCCTCCATTAGTCTCCCCCTCCCCCTTCTGTGGAAACAGAAGATCACACAAGCAATACTGATCTCTATAGTGGTCATGTATAACAAAAAAACTGAAATATGCTTGACAATTTCTCATTTGCTGCTCTTTGAAGCTCGTTCACAATTTGTTTTCTGTTGTATTCATTTCAAGTAGCAATCCACTAAATTATGAACTGGGATTTGGAAACCAGTTATTATACAGTATATTCCATATTATAAGTAATACTGTGTCATTACTGCACAGCCAACACATACAATGTTTCTTTTCCAAATATAAAAAAAAAATGCCCAACTGGTCAAAAATAACAGTTTTTGCATTGGAATCTGCATCGCATTGCACCTCTTCCTCCAGCCCCAGGTCTGTAATGAGGCAAGGACCTTCAGTTATGGTGCTGGAGGAAGTAATGCACTACAGATGCAGTGACATCACCGCACACGTGCGCCATTAAGATCTACCAAATCCTGTGCAGTGGTGGCAGATAGGACTTGTCTCTCCAATCGTGGGTCTCTGGGCCTAAATATGGGTGTAATGTGAAGCATGGTCCCAAAAAGGTGGAATTTAGCTCACCACACACATAATCCTGTTGCACAATTTTTGTATAATCAACTTTAGTTTTACCAAAATTATGTAATACAATATGAGGATCTACATAAACTAATTAATATGTATCCAATCAAGCAGGAACCTCGCACTACATAATTAATGGTAGATCCAAAGGAGATTGTACAGTCAGATGTAATGTGCGGCTTGGTTTAGGTAGTGCTGTTATGGAAGGACATGCTACTCTGCAGACAGGACAGTAAATACACTTACTGCAGGCTGATGTCCAGGTGCGGGTCCTGCTGGCTGATGTCCAGGTGCAGGTCCTGTTGGATATCCCCCTGATCACACAAATTCAAAGTAAAGAAAATTAGGATACAATATATACAGTGATGTCCATAAAAGAAAACCTGGAAAATCATTTTCTTTCCTGCTAAAACCCAGCATTTACCACTAGAACTGGAGAGGTTTAGTTTAGTCTACAGTGGAGGCTAATCAGAACACCTGTAAATAAGCAAACAATATTAGGGAAGATTTACTAAAACTGGAGCACTCAGAATCTGGTACAGCTGTGCATAGTAATCAGTAAGTCAAATACGCAAGTATAGTATAGCAAGCCAGTCCGCTTCTAACTTCAGCTTGTTTAATTAAGCTTTGACTTTAAAACCTGGAAGCCGATTGGTTTCTATGCAGAGCTGCACCAGATTTTGCACCATGCAGTTTTGGTTTCTATGCAGAGCTGCACCAGATTTTGCACCATGCAGCTTTGGTTTCTATGCAGAGCTGCACCAGATTTTGCACCATGCAGTTTTGGTTTCTATGCAGAGCTGCACCAGATTTTGCACCATGCAGTTTTGGTTTCTATGCAGAGCTGCATCAGATTTTGCACCATGCAGTTTTGGTTTCTATGCAGAGCTGCACCAGATTTTGCACCATGCAGCTTTGGTTTCTATGCAGAGCTGCATCAGATTTTGCACCATGCAGTTTTGGTTTCTATGCAGAGCTGCATCAGATTTTGCACCATGCAGTTTTGGTTTCTATGCAGAGCTGCATCAATAACCTTGTGTTTACATATCAGAGTGCAAGAGGACACCAGTCTCATTGAATCTCATCCAGAGAATCTCAGATTTCCAATGCAATGGACCATTGATTCTTTATCCACCATCTCTTAAAATGCCTCAGATGGGTAAGCAAGGACCTACTGTGTGTTTTGGGAAAAAGTTTTGATAGTGACAAAACAAGGGATCTTCGCCACTGCAGAAAATCTTAAAGTGGGCATAAACTCCCTTTTGTGCTTTGTACCTACAGGTAAACCTATAATAAGGCTTACATGTAGGCATCATATCTCCTAAAACATGCACGGTTTAGGAGATATTTACCTGAGTAGCTGCCAGCGACATCACCAGCACATGCACTTTGAAGGAAAGGCATACCTGTGCTGTTCCTTCAGAGCCCATGTGTAAACAGTGTGTACTGCATACATGGCGGGAGTGACGTCAACGAAGCCAGAGAACCCAGTAGGAAGACTGGGTGAAGATGGATTCACTGTCAGAAGACATGGGGTGCCGCTGGAAAGATACGTTTCACAGGTAAGACTGTCATAATGTGCTAGTATGCAGTGCATACTTGTACATTAGGACTTTACCCAGCGGGGGAATTCCCCCCCCTTTTTCAGCAGTGGATTACTACTGCATTCCCGCCACCCTATAGCACAATTACTGCTACGAGGCTGCGCAAAATCACACACACACACACACACTTTGCATTTTCAGGCAGGGCACGCACCCTGCCCTATCCGTGCTGCCACTAGCAGCTACGACTGTCAATCAGCAGTTCCCAGCCGGAGATTTCCCGCTGGCACCTGGCGATCGCCGATGAACACTGACAGAGGAGAGGTCTGTATGTAAGCAATACAGATCTCTCCCTGTCAGCTCCAGCATGCTGCTTTGTTTTGCTCTGCACAGCAGAGCAATAAAAAGCAGCGTGCTTACACAGTAAAGCACACACATTAAAACAGCACACAGTTAACCCTTTGATCGCCCCAGATGTTAACCCCTTCCTGCCCAGTGTCATTAGTACAGTGTCAGTGCTTTTTTTTCCTAGCACTGATAACTGTATTAGTGTCACTAGGGATGTAAGTTGCAGTTAGTCAGTGTCAGTTAGTGTCAGAATGTCTGCCGCAGTCCCACTATAAGTTGCTAATCGCCACCATTACTAGTATAAAAAAATTTTAAAAAATTACAGTATATATTACACACACACACCCCGCCATTTGTAGATGCTATAACTTTCACGTAAACTAATTTACATGTATTGGGATTTTTTTTTAGCAAAGACAGGTAACAGAATACATTATGGCCTAAATTTAAGAAATTAGATTTTTTTAAAAAATTTTTACTGGATATGTTTTATAGCAAAAAGTCAAAAATAAGGGATTTTTTAAAAATTGTCAGTCTCTTGTTTATGGCGCAAAAAATACGCCATAACGCCAAAACCGCAGAGGCAATCAAATACCACCAAAAGAAAGTTCTATTTGTGTGAAAAAAAGGACATGAATTTCATTTAGGTATAAATGGCCTGGTCATGAAGGGGAGTAAATCCTCTGGAGGGCAAGTGGTTAAAAGGAAGGGATTTGGAAAAAAAACAAAAACCACAAAAAACAAAAAAAACCCCACAAAAATAGTCTTAACCCTTTCACTACCATTGACATATGTCAACTGTTGGCGGCGCAGCAGGGGGTCTTATAACTCTTCCCTGCTGCTCTAGAAAAAAAAAACATCATATAAATGTCACAAGCCAACTGTCGTTTCCATGGGCCACTGGAATTTGCATCAGCCCCCCCCCCCCCCCCATGTATTCCAGTCTCCACTATCCCTCCAGCTGGCCTGGGACCCATATAGTAGGTGTTGTCAAGTAGGGGGGAGGCAGACCCAGCAAATGTCTGTTCGCGCTGACCTCTTCTAGCTAGTAAGATCCTGGGTGCAACTTCTGGTTTTTGCTGTCCTGGCTGCTGTGAAGAAGATAGCGGAGTGCGATCTGTGCTCTATTAGTTTCAGTGGAGTGCTGGGGAGACATTAGGGGTCCAATAGACCTGTCACTATACACCTTTGGCGATTTTGGGCACTGAAGTTTGTCAGTTTCACTGGCGCTCGCAATTTTAAGACTTTGCATGTTTGGGATCTATTCTATTCACTACCACACTTTTCACCAAAACTGGGTAATATGTGTTTGTGTGCACTAAAATTGCTGTGCAGCTCAGTGTACATCCAACACAAGACTGTGACCTACCACCATTTTATTCTCCAGGGTCTCTACTGTCAGAAAATCTATATGCACTTTGGGGGATTTAAAGTGTTACTAAACCCAGGACCCTTCATTCACTATATCTGGTCTCCCACAGTACACAGAACATAGAAGAGTAATTATTTTAGTAAATATAAACTGCTAAATACCTCTTCTTATCAGCAGTTAGAGCAATCTTGTAACTTCTATCGGTGTGCAGCAAAGCAAATGTTAAAGCTTGCAGGAGTTTTCATTCTGCTCTAAGAGGATGCAGAACCCTGACCTGTCTGGGCAGTGCTGATTGGCTTTGTGCTGATCACATGCACTCGCTCAAAAAAAAAAAAAAAAAAAAAAACCACACCTCTGCACATGCTCAGTTTGGTGTGTATTGCTAGAGTGACTCCACAAGATATATCTTATCAGGAGATAAGAGTGGGACACTGGAAGAAGGGGAAAAAATCTGAGAAAAAAAGGATCAAACAGCCTTTTTACACAACGCAGAGGATTAACCCTTTAAGTTCCACAGTGAGAATAGCATGCTTTACTGCATATACAGATTTTACTGCTGTGCATTCAGTAACACTAACTAATCGTCAGGGAAGTAGAGGTATTTAAAAAAAAAAAAAAAAATTTCTACTGGTCCTGTCTATAATATTTGATATACTAGTCATCTTACCTGGTGCGCCTCCCCCATAGCTCTGAGCAGCAGGTTGCTGGTATCCTCCATATCCTGGAGCCCCACCAGGTGGTGCACCATATCCACCGGCTGCAGGGACACCACCTGGTGGAGCACTGTATCCTCCAGCCCCATACTGTCCTCCTGCTGGCGCTCCAAATCCGCCAGGTGGGGCACCGAAACCAGGTCCACCATAGCCAGGGGCTCCACCTGGTGGTCCATAACCAGGCGCACCGGGAGGAGCTCCATATCCTGCACCTTGACCTGGGGCTCCATATCCAGGACCTAAAGATGGGGGGGATTGGGTAGGGTGAGAGAAGTAGATCAGGTTAAAATATCATGGGTAAAATAAGGAAAAGAGCACAAATAATAGCACACTCTGACAGTTTACTTTTTACACAGGAAAAACCAATCTGTGTACTCTATTTTACAGGGATAATGGGGTACAACCAACGTACTAAGCATATGCATACATACCACAAAAAGAATAGGACATAATTACTAGAAAACCCATTGCAATTAACAGATCACAAACCAGGGCAAGTTAAGCTGGGCACATGAAAAAAAAGAATCACACAAATGTGGTTGCCTTCAGTGAAAACCACATGCCAGAAAGCAATTCCAAAAAACAGGCAGCCAAAATTCTCTCCTGCCTCCCAAGTATCCATACTGGTCAATGATTTGGCCGAGGAACAAGTATTAAACAGCCAGGTGGCAGAAGGGGTAGTAGAAAACCTGAATAATTTAGGCTGCCTAGATATCTAGGTCTACTGATCCATTTGATCATGCAGTTGTTGAGGCTAAACTCTGCATATCTTATGCACAATTCAACATGGCCAGATAGCCCAGACTTGCAATTGGTTCACTTGCAGTAGAGCAGAAGCAAGTGAAATGGGGAAAAAAAAAAAATAATAATTACATAGAATACATTTTTGTTTTTTAACCACAAACCCATATACAGTATATATAACAAATATACCTTGAGGAGGATAGGAAGGCATCCCACCAGGATAGCCACCAGCAGCAGGGTATCCACCAGGCTGTGGGTATCCACCTCCAGCTGCTGGTGGGTATGCGCCTCCACCAGCTGGTGGATATTGCCCACCAGGAAATCCTTGCTGGCCACCAGGAGCATATGCAGGGTCAGCAGTCTACAAAACAGATCACACGAGTCTTACTAGAAGCTAGATCATACAGCAAATTATCAACCGGAATCAAGTTGAAAACAACACATCACAGTATATATCACACAACTATCCCAGGAATTAACTATTTGGTTTAAACAAAATTGGTAGTTCAGCAACAAACTTGAGTAGATAAAGGACAGCCTGGTGTCTAAATTCTGTAGAACATGAAAATATTACCCACTTCTCTCCATTGTTATACAGGTTCTGTGCTGACAACAGATGTCCAGCCCTTTCACAAGTTTCATATCAGACATCAGTAAGAAATGTCTGACATGCAGATGACTCAGAGTTGGAGTGGAACCATAAGGGCACAATGTACAGATTATAGAACAGTGGCTTTAGTAATTCAGTTACCCACAAAGTTTGAAAGCATTTGTGCAATCATCTTGTGATGGAAGGAGACATTGACTCAAGCTGTATACTGGTTTGCCACTATTGCAACGCAAATTGGAATCGTGGCGGAATCTCAGCAATTCAGCCCGTGATCCAAATCGCCAGATGTGAATGAGCCTCAAAATTTTGAACAGTACTGTAAATAAAGGCTGATCATTGTAAACATCCCTGCCAGTGTTAAATGGTTTGCCTCATCCCTATAACCAATAAATCTGCAAGAGATTGTTCTTTTGAAAAATAACAGGATTTACTGGCTGGATCACCAGATGAAAACAGAAAAAAGAAAACCAATACAGCCACCATATCTAATAACTGGTAAGCTGCAATATAATAAAGGTTTGCTTTTGGATTTAATACTGATTTAACGTCAACAATACAATGTAACAATAATGGGAAAAACGGAAGTGGGGGACAAGAGGCCATGGTCTCAGAAGCAAGTCTCTCAAGTCAGCTATGAGCTACACACAGCATTTTCTTGTTCATTGTATTATTGTTACTGAGTGTAGTTTCATCAGTAAAAGAGAGAGTAGTAGTTCTGCTTTTGATACCAAACTCCATAGAAGAAACACGTACAGGCATACCTCGGTTTACAAATTTAATATACTTTTCGTATCGCGAAAAATTCATAAACCGAAACGCAGTTTCCCACAGGAATGCATTGAAAACCAATTAATCCGTTCCGGAGGTCAGAAAAAAGTAAACGCTACAAAAATACTGCATGACTTATTTTATCAAGTCATGCGGTGTTTTCATAGTGACAACCATGTGCTAATGTTTCAGCCGTCAGTGGGGTTCCCCACTGACAGCTGAAAGTAAAAGAATTGCTGGCAATTAAAAAAAAATAAATAAAACGGTGTGGGGTCCCCCCTCCCATCCATACTAAGCCCTTCGAGTCTGGTACGGATTTTGAGGGGAACTCCCCAGACCCCCCCCCCCCCATGTATATGAGTATAGGGTACATGGTCCCGCTACTGATTCACAAAAAAAAGTGTAGTGTAAAAAGAGACAGGACATTGATGTCACATGGGGTGGGATCACATGGGTAATGTCCCCAGGTGGCCCCGCTCCTTACATAGTTAAGAACTGTCAAACCACCGGAGCAGGCAGACGGAGGGAGCCATCGTCGGAACTTTTTTTTTTTTTTTTTTTAATTCTTTTTTCGGGGCGGTGGTGGGCATCGTGATTGACGTTGGTTCTACTGCGGGGGACATTCTTTTAATAAAGGACTTGTTAAAGACAGTGTCCTGTATTTTTTCACACTACACTTTTCGTGAATCAGTAGTGGGACCATGTACCCCATACTCATTCACATAGGGGGAAGCCGGGTCTGGGGGCCCCCTTGTTAAAGGGGGCTTCCAGATTCCGATAAGCCCCCTGCCTGCAGCCCCTCACAACCACCGGCCAGGATTGTGGGGAAGAGGCCCTTGTCCCTCATCAACATGGTGGGCATCACCCCCCGTGATCCTGACCTGCCGGGTTGCATGCTTCTAAGGATCTGGTATGGATTTTGGGGGGTGGACCCCCACACCATTTTTTTTTTAAAGAAGGGAAACTTAAGCTGGGCATACAAGATCAGTGTTTTTTTTTTTTCAAGCAACCAGTGGGCGCTGCTGTGGTATTGTATTCAGACTCCTCCACTATTGGAATACACTGATCAGTGCTGCAGTTGAATAGGAACAGCCATAGATGGATTAAAATTTGTCTGATCCCTGCAGGACCGGCCAAATTTCAATCCATCTATGGCCAGCTTAAGGGTTCTCCAGGCCTTGGTTATTGTCTGTTTTGCAGCTGTAAAGAGTTGTAAGTGGCATTGTATTGTAACGAGAAATAAAAGTTAGGGATATCACACAGGTTTTTTTTTGGGTTTTAATTTTTAGGAGTGCCACAGATGGGTCAGTCTGTATACTGAAGCCAAGGAGACTGGACATCATGTGAGACTTCAGACCAAATGGCAGGTCCACTAGACGGGAAGGTGTTTTCCCAGGAGGATGGGTATCTGAGGACAAACGTTTTTTTTCTCCTAGCCAGGACCGGGTATAACAAGACAGAACTTTTTTGTTTGTTTCAATGGCTGCAACATTTAATGAGCAAGACTTTGTTGTGGCCCAGATTTTGTCCCAATCCTCTTTCTCAAGGGTGACACTGAGGTTAGCTGTCCACTTATTTGTACATGAGGGAGGGAGTGGGGCTGATTTGGCAATCATTGTGGGAGTATAGTAAGGAAATAAAGCTTAATGCATGAGGAACTCTTTATCATATTTGCTCAGAACATGATTCACACAGCATTTTAACTTCAGCTGAGCCAGGAATCCAATGTATTCCAGTGGAAGGATTCACATGTGTCTGCAAGACCATTACAGTTCAGAAATGCCCTCCAAAAGCATATAAAACACAAGCTTAATACAATAATGCTTCTGAGCTAAGGTATGGCACCAATCCTTTTGGGAAAAATTTCTCTAGGCATCTCCAGCACATAACCCAGGTCAAGGTTTTCTGAAACCACTTGGCCTTGCTGCCCTCTTGTTACCGGACTGGGGAATCCATGAACACTGCACGAAAGAACAAGAGAGGGCACGCACCAGCCTTGTGCATTAACCGAGACACTATTTAAAGTGACTCTAAAAGGTTCATCTTTTTTTCCATAAAACAACAAACATGTCTATACTTACCTGCTGTGTGCAGTGGTTTTGCACAGAGCAGTGTGGATCCTCCTCTTCTCTGGTCCCCCACAGGCTCTCTTGGCTCCTCCTTTCTGTCAGATGCCCCCACAACAAGCAGCTTGCTATGGGGGCACCCGCTGCTCCATGTGTCCATTCACACATGGAGCGGCAGCTTGGTCCCGCCCTTCCTCTCTCCTCATTGACTGACTAGCTGTGATTGACATCAGCAGGAGCCAATGGCTCCCGTTTGCTGTCTCAGTCAATGAGGAGGCAGAGACCCAGGCAGCCGATGGCTCAAACGATATCATGCCATACTATGTTGGCTTAGAATTATTATTGGCCACAACCCAGCCCCTTCACTAGTTGAAGGCGGGGCCATGGGCTTAACCTTTGATACCCAGTTAATATATAAAACATAGTGTCTAGCAGACTTTTGGCTCTGATGAAAAAAGGGACACCCTTGAAACGCTTGGTCTTTCAGGAGCGGCGTTATCAGTGCTGGTCGTTCTGTTGGAAACTTGCTATGGTCTTAATGCTTTTATTGTTTGTGAGTATATAACTTTTAGCCTTTAAAGAGGAGCTCCACCCAAAAGGGGAAGTTCCGCTTAAATGGGGAGCAGTCCTTAAAGGATTGGCACTTTTGGGGGGGGGGGGGAGCGGGTCACCCGAATTTGACAGGTACCCACTTCCAGTCTGATCACCTAGGCGATCGCAAACAGAAGGTGTCCTCCCTCCCTGTAGTCTTTTGGGACATGTGACAGCTACTCGCGCATGCGCAGTGGGTACCCGGCTGTGAAGCCGCAAGCTATCACAGCCGAGTGCCCACACTGAAGATGCCGGCCTCCTGGAATACAGGACGGCCAGTGAAATGGGCTGTAGGGGACACACCGTGGGACCGAGGGACAGGTAAGTGGCTGAAATGAGGGAAAGCTATGCTGATTTCTATCATCCAAACATGAGCAAGCAAAAATGCTGTTTTTTTTAATTTACATTGCATGATCCACTTGGGATCTAGAGCAACTGCACTTGCAAGTGCCCAGACTATTTGCCTTTAGTGAACCACTGTCTTACAGTGTGACATATTTTCCAGTCTTATGCTCACACAGGAGACTATATTCTACAAAACAGTTTGTTGCATAGCTTGATCTTTTCTTATTGCTTCGTATACAGTTAAACCATTTTCTCCATACGTTTAGAATAGGTAATACTTTGATACACTCAGCCTAAGGACACATCTATTCCTTGTCACTAGTAGAAATGTTACACAGTACATGCTTCCATATATGCACACACTTGTATGCTAGTTACATGTCAGAAGACAGAGGTGACGTTTATGTTGAAATTTCAAGTGATGCAATAACTAAAGTGTAAGTAAAAATTATGCAGTTTACAGCACTAGAAGTAATAGCAAACACATTTTGAAAAGACTTACTGGATAGCCTGGGTAACCAGGGAACCCGGATGGCTGCTGATATGGGTATGCCATTCTGTAGTACAAATAAGAAAAAAAAAAATATATATATAAATATGGTACATTTGTACATAGAGAAACTAAATATCAGTAAGTTCATTTAATTGCCATACACAGCTGTTTTAATGATCTACAGTGTGTATAATGCAAAATATACACATCACTCAACATGTTTATCCGGCATTTTCTATGCACCAAAGGTTTCTGTTACAACTAAAGACACCTTCAGCCTTCTCTAAGCTATAAAAAGTGTTCCCCTATCACCACTTACCTAGTACACCAAAAATCAGACTACAAAACAGCATGAACCCATGGGGCAGAAAAAAAAAAAAATTGTACAAGTTGTGCAACAGCCCTAATAAAAGATATAAGCTGCATGCGCCAAAAAATATATAAATTGATAATAAACGTGCTGCATTAACCACCTACGATCCAAATGTATGTGCTAATAAAAATGTGATATCATCCAAAATTGTGCGGTGCTCAATATAAACTATTGATATCATAAATTTGTAGCTATACAAATATATTGCAGTGAACCACACACAAAAAAAAAAAAAAAAAAAAAAGACAAAAATAATAATTTATATACAGAACACAATCAAAAAACTAAAAAATCCAAAAATGCATACATCAGGGACACTGTACAGAGTTACAGCATTCCTGAATAGACAAACTGAGCAAGAGGGGTTTGAGTTTACTACTGCGATATTAAAGTTTATGTAACAAAGGGAAAAAAAAAAAAAAAAAAAAATAGGTCCAGCAGTAGGTTGAAGTCATAATGTACCAATATGCACTGCATACTGGTACATTACGACAGACTTGCCTACAAACGGAGCCCTCTAGCACTGCACTGATATGACTCTCCTTGGTCCCCAGCGGCTTCCATCTTCACCTGGTCTTCCTTCTGGGTTTCAAATTCTTGGACGCTTGATTGGCCGGGCTGAGGTGCACAGGAGTCACATTGCCACGGTATTCAGAGCAGGCCATAAACGTGGTCTGAGCTGTGCATGTGTGGCTCAGATCACATTATCCGCTGACAGGCAGAGGGGGACATTTATGACAGAAGAGACCTCTAGGGTCTCTTCTGTCATAAAAACCCTGCCTGTCAGCGGTTTTTGAGAATTTCACTTTACTACCACTATAAGCTTTCTCATCCCAGACAGCACTGCCTTTCGGCAACACTTTGAAGATCTCGGAAGGTGCTTTTATTTGACGTGTATGTGTGAGTACATTGTTTTTTTAATAAAAGTGTTTTAGCGTTTACAGTGAGCACTAAGGTCTGTCATTTCTTCTTTTAGCCCTCCCGATTACGTATCCAGCTCTGCACTTTATTTATATAATATTTTCATCTGTGGTATCAGAACTGTTTGTGGTGGCTGCCTTTATATTGGTTTAGCCTAAGCGCAGTGTTCACTTTTCATTTTGATATCATCCATGGAGACCTAGAGTGGTTGTAAAGCCTAAACATTTTACTTCATTGCATTCCTTGCATTATGGTAAAAATGCTTATGTAGTAGTTCCCCCATTATACGTAAGCCCTTAATCCAGTGCTGTGCCCATCTGCAGCAGCTCTCCCCTTCTCCCACTCTAACAGGCTTTGCTAAGAGCAGCAATAGCCATTGGCTCCTGCTGCTGTCAAATTCTGTGACGAGGAAGCAGGAGAAAAAGGGGGGGGGGGGGGGGGCTTGGAGCCAAGCTTTGCTGTCTGTGGCATGGCTCAGGATCGAGCATGCAGTTGTGCCAAGATAGGAAGTGGCTTCCTATAGTGGCTCTCCAAAAACAGGAGAAGCAAGGAGCACCAGCAGGGAACCAGAGAAGAGGAGGCAAGTATAAACCTGCTTATTAATAAAAAAAAAAAATCTATATATATATATATATATATATATATATATATATATATATATATATATATATATATATATATATATATATATATATATATATATATAAAAACAGAAAAGAAAAAACGGATTGAGGCAGAGGTTGAGCTGGGCTTTGTCTAGTATATGAGCTGAATCTGGTTTCTTTGGACCTTGTAGCCTCTGGGTACTGGTGCTTGACATCTGCTTATTTGACCATTGTAGTGCAGAGGCAACCTAGAAGGTAAGCATTTGCCCTCCGGGGTTGCTGAGGGTCTTCTTTGTAAACAAACCTGACCACCATTCAAGAGTGATTTTGCACATATTTTTGGAATTTATTTTGGACTTTGTTTTATGCATCAATTTTGTTTTTTTTTTTTTTCTTCTGTAGAACAGACAGCTGTACGCACAGAGTGAAAGTTGGCTGATTTGGCTCATGTGCACAAGGCTTTAGGAGGTTTTGTTAAGTTCTGACGTGGAATCCAGCAAATAGAACTGCTCCAAAAAGGCAGTTCCTTTTTAAAATGTAATAGTGTCCCAATATTGAAAAAAGAAACCCCACATTTCTGCATTCCTGTAAGTGTGCAATTGCCTTCATCTGTTTATCACCAAACGCATTACAGCATCAAACATAAAAGGCAGTGGAGGAGGTACCTTTTTACCTCAAATTGAGGGCAGATATCTGGTAAAAGAAGTCAATCACCAAAGCAGGGAATGAGATTTCTGAAAAGGTTTTCTACTCCTCCAGGGTTGCAATGCCGTGCAACTTGAGGATTTTTTTTTTAGATTTTTTGTTGTAGATAAAAAAATGAAATAAAAACCTGGCTGGGAATAGACAGACAAAGAAAGTCACTGTAACAGCAAAGTGTTTAAAAAAATCACCCCCCCCCCCCCTCAGCATAGCAGTGTCACTATGGTGACACTGACTCACCCTGATGAAAGTATGTTAAAAATATAAAAACAAAAAATAGTTTAGGAAAAAAGGTTTTTAAAAATGTAATTAAGAAAAAAATTTCCTCACTATACCAGTCATATGATGATGCTGTACTGCACTGATGACAGTATGTAAAATGAAAAAAATAAATAAAATAAAAGAAATAGTACTTCATTTTCCAAATAATTGTGACAAAAAAAAAACCTACAACTTCAAAAAACTCACCATTACACTTATAAATACCTCATGTCCTGGCTCAAGAAATGAGATCAGCCATTGGTACATTAGACATGTTACATTTTCAAATACAGTACATATACCATAGTTTGTAGACCCTACAACTTTCACACAAACCAAATAATCACTTATTGGACATGCAGAAGAATACATTTTGGCCTAAATTTATGAAGACATTGATTTTATTGCATAGGTTTAATCAGTGAAAGTAGAACATATTTGTTTTCATAATGTGCCTTTTTTAGTTATAGCACACAAAAAATAAATAAAAATCCAATGGTAATCAAACAACACCAAAAGAAAGCTATATTTGTGTGAAAAGGAAATTATATAAAAATTTGATCATAGTGTTGCATGACCACACAAATGCCAGTTAAAGTAGCACAGTGCTGAATTGCAAAAAATAGCTTGGTCATGAAGGGGTAAAACCTTTGAGAGGTCAAGTGGTTAACTTTTATTTATTTATGCTATCACAAATGATTAACAAAACACCCATGTGATAGCATTGGGGAGATGACATTTACTCTTTATGGAGACATAAGGGGCCTAACAGACCCCAATGTCTCCCCTGCCCTTTACAGTATCTAACCGAGCACAGATCTGTTCGGTTAGATGTTCCCCCAACTAGGAAATGGAGGATCTGAAACCAGAAGTTACTAAAATCATTAGCACTTCCACTTTCTTTCCCTAGAGGGGACATCAAGGCATGGATGTGTCTCAAGTCAGTCATTTTTTAGTTTAGCTATCTTTTGATCTGAAAATATATCTCTCGAGCATCACCCCCAAGGATAGGGAACCTCCAATGTCCATATTATTACAGATACAGTTATTGTTTCCTGCTCACAAGTTAATTGCACAAGGAAGGCTGTCACATAACCCTTCTTCCTTTTTAAAATCTCACAATGCTGTTAATGCCATCTAAGAGAAAAACTAACTTATCAAAACAGTGGTTGTCCAAAGATATATAAAAAAAAAAAAAAAAAAGTGGTCCCCATGGTTGTCTGCCACTGCAATAGCTTCAGTCACTTCCATACTTTCAAGCCCGTCTCATTGATGGTGTTATTAATTTACCAAAACTAATATGTACTGTGGACATGTCAAGTGGAAAAATGCATTTTCCATCTTAAAAACTCTGCTCAATATGGTATATCAGTTGTAGATTGACATTTATATAACCTGAATTATGTTACTGCACGTGGTTGACAGTGGGGATTATTACTGCCTCGTATGAGGAACAGATTGGTGTCAATTTACTAAAACTGGTTCCCTCAGAATCTGGTGCACCTGTGCATGGCAGCCAATCAGCTTCTAACCTCAGCTTGTTCAATTAAGCTTTGGCAATAAAACCTGGAAGCGGATTGGTTTCTGTGCAGAAGTGCACCTAATTTTGCACGCTTCAGTAAACAAACCCCATTGTGTTCTATTTCTTTATTTTGTATTTATGGTTTGAAAAATGCTTAAAAAAAACATTACTTAATAAAAACAAACATTTTATTCTATTCAATTCCTCTTATTGTGCCAATAAAAAGTTTTGAATTTTATCAAGATTTCAGTCCCCATGACAATGTCATGAGAACAGAAAAAAAAAACCCTTTCCTAAATATCTTTGCCGTTCATGAAACCTGCCTATCACCCGTCTGAAATATCATTTTTCTATGATGGCTTACAATTAAACACACCTCTAAACTTGGCACCAGGCCTGGTTGGTGGAGTACCTCCTCTCACACCTGTCTTACCTCTTGTGTTCTCACTCCTCCCTCTCACTTTCTGTCTTTAAGTACATGTAGTAGATCTCGTTTCCAACAGCCATCTAATAATTGCCATTGTTTACCAACCTCCTGTGCACAGCCTTCCAGTTCCTGGAAGAGTCGGAAACCAGCTGTTATATATTTAATTTATCTGTTCTTTTTGGGGTTTTTTCAGTCATGAATACTACATTTTCCCCAGAGCTTCAATGAATTGGAGCTCTGCTGACTTCCATC